GCAGTGGGTTGCCATGGGCTACCGTGTGTAGCCAGCAGCCAGCGTGAGCGGCCAGCAGACGCAGTGAGCGGCTGTCCAGAAGCCAGCGACTGATCTCCCTCACCCGGGAAGAGCGCAATGATGGTGCCAACATGGGCCAGTGAAGCAATGTCCTCCACAACTAGACTGAAGAACAAAAAGACAGCAACTTGTCTGTTCCCCTTTCCCAATTCCCCAGCACTGTTCCCATCCTCTAATTCCCCAATAAAAAAATCTTAAAAAAAAAATAAAAAACTTGAGTTCAATAACGTTATGTCATACAGTCATACATTTTTTTCATATTTCGGGCCCCCAAATTAAGGTGCGTCTTATACATGGAGCATTTTATACATGGGGAAATATGGTATTTTTGTATTTGTTAATTGAAAGACAGGTACTGAGGTAATGGATGTCTTTGTAACCTAAATAATAATTTACTTTACAACTAAATAATATTTCCAGAATATTGCCAAATTGATACTTGAACCTAAAGATGCCAAAGAGCAAGACCAAGAAATAAATAGATAACATCTAAAATAAATGATTACTATCCATAAAAAGCTAATTAAAAAAACAAAAATTTGCAAAATACTATGAACAAGTAATTAATAAAAAAATGTAAAAATACAATCAAACTATATAAAGAAGTTCAACTTTACTGGTAATCAGAAAATTGCAAAAATAGAGAATCAATATTACTTTCCATGTATTAGTTGGCCAAACATAAAAATAATTGATAGTATCCACTAACGGCAAAAGTGTGAGGCAAAGGCATGCTCATAGTTAATACAAACAAATTAGAGAAAATTACTGTACAGAGAGCATATATAATATTAAAACTGCAATGTGCTAAGATATCACCTCACACCAGTTAGAATGGCTTTCATCAACAAGGCAAATAATAACAAGGGTTGGAGAGGCTATGGAGAAAAAGGAACCCTCATACACTGCTGATGGGAATGCAGATTGGTGCAGCTGCTATGGAAGGCAGTGTGGAGGTTCCTCAAAAAATTAATGACACAGCAATCCCTCTCCTGGGTATCTACCAAAAAATCTGAAAACATTTATCCATAAAGATATATGTGCTCCAATGTTCACTGTAGCTTTATTTACAATGGCCAAGATATGGAAACAACCAAAGTGTCCTTCATAGGTGATTGGATAAAGAAGATGTGGTAATAGGCCGGCTGAGTGGCTCAGTTGGTTAAGAGCTCGCTCAAGAGTTTGAGCTCTGAGCAACAGTGGTTCGAGTCAGCCCGAGCTGAGCAGCCGTGAGCTGCCAACAGGTGGCAGGATGGCTCAGCTAAAAAAAAAAAAAAAAGAAGATGTGTAATATATACACAATGGAATACTATTCTGCCATAAGAAAAGATGAAATAGTGCCATCTGCGGCAACATGGATGGATCTTGAGATTATGCTAAGCGAAATAAGTCAGACAGAAAAAGTCAAGAACCATAGGATTTCACTGACATGTGGTATATAGCACTGAAAACAACAAAAGTACAAGACAAACAAATGAAGAAACAAAAACCCATAGACACAGACAATAGTTTAGTGGTTACCAGCGGGTAAGGGGGGAGGGGGGTGGTAGATGAGGGTAAAAGGGATCAAATATATGGTGATAGAAGGAGAACTGACTCTGGATGGTGAACACACAATGTGATATATAGAAGATGTATTATAGAATTGTACACTTGAGAACTATGTAATTTTACTAACCATTGTCACCCGAATACACTTAAAAAAAAAAACTGTAATGTGCCACTCCAAAGAATCTATTTTACCACACAACTTGTACAAATATCAAAGATGTATATATACACAAGGATATTCAGTGAAATATTATTTGTAATATCAAAAAAGGGAAATAGCTGAAATATTAAAAATTAGACTTGGCTAATTATGATAGATCCATTATACCCAGCCCTTAAATAAATAAAGTTAAAACTATATGTAGTAATGTGAATAGATCTCTAAAAAACTGTTAAATGAAACACTAACAGAACAATATAATACCATTTGTGGTTAGAAACAAAATCAAATGAATTTAAAAATATCTATGAATTTCTATATATGTATACTAATAGTAAGTATGGAAAGGTAAACAGACCAAGCTGTTCCCAGTAGTTACCTTTGGAAAAAAGGGGCAAGAAGATTTTCACTTTTTACTTTGGTTACTATTTGATTAAAAAAAAAAATCAGAAAACACTTATTACTTATGAAAATTTAAAAACACTAAAAGTTTACATTAGAAAAAGAACATAAATCAGAAACCCATAAACTTACTCAATTTTTCACCAAGCATCTGAAGAATTTCTAGCACCAGCCAATGGATATCTAAGTGAAGATGTAATAAATGCCATGATGGTGGAAAAAGCTGTGAATGACATGATCAACTGTGACTGAGAATTCATAATACTTTACAAAGTATTTGATAGCATATCACAACACTCCTCCATAAGCACACAAGGATAAAGAACCAATTAAACTATCATTGTTCAAAAGCTCAGGGAAAACCTTTGTTTTGTTCATTAGAATATTCTTTCACTGGATATCTTTGAAAGCAGGATATATTTTCTCTAAAGGTTTAAGACAGACCACCTTGGGGCTCCTGAATAGTATAGTTGAATCCCTTCAAACCAACCTCTGATTCTACCACAGCTGCAAAGCAGTAAAAGAATTTTTAAAACATGTATTTTCATGATTTTATATTAGACTTTAGTTAGGAAATATGTTTTTAAATGTAATACATACCTATAATGTATTTTAACAAGAGAACTTTAAACGATCATGTAGACACTACTGTCATGCCCATTAAGAAACTTTATCAATAACCTTCTTCCAGTCAACATTTAGTATCACTATAAAAATAAATACAATGATACACATGTTCTATCAAGACAACTAGGAAAAATAATGAAGAAGGAATTTGCCTTATCAAATATGCAAACAAAATAAAATGCTACACTCATGAGGCAGTATTGGCTCAGGAATAGATAATAAACAACAGCAAAAATAAGGAAGAGAGAAATGAAAAAATGTGGTATTTCAAATCAGTAGGGAAAGCATGGGTCATTCAGTAAAAGGCAGAATTATTAACTTATTCATTTAAACTAAAGTTAGATTTCCCACCTCACAGCATATTTTTTAAAAAGAGATAAGAAATATAAAAAACAAGTATGTTTTGGGCAGCTGTATAGAGATGACACACAAAAAAAACCTGACAAATACAACTATATAAAAAACTTAAATCTACCTAGCAAGTCAGCTTAACTGCTGAAAAAGATAGATGAAAATATTTGACATACATAATACCCAATAAATAATATCTCTAATAAAAAAATTCTAAAAAAATAATAAAAGACATGCTCAACTAAAAATATCAATTAAATCAATACTTTTAATACATGATAGGTAAAGTATAAGAAATACATAAAGTCTTGTGAGGTGCTTTATGTTTTATAATTTTTGTTGTCGTTTTAGAAAAGAATTTGAGTGTAAGATTTTGTTGTTGTTTATGTGTTGAAGACTACATTTCCCTGCTTTAAAAATTCAGTCTTTTGATCTTCAAATAACCTATCTTTTCAAGTCTGCCTAATTAAAAAGCCCATGAAAGGCAAAATCTAGTTTGAGGATCCTTGCACATAATCTTTATTTCTGCTCCTAGATAAATTATTAATTTTTATTTTTTAACCACTTAATGGACAGCCACAAAATAAAAATGAGTCCAATTTACAGAAACTAAAAGGAAAAATATCTCTCGCTCACAATCTACCTATGAGTCTTTATTAAATGACATGATCAAAAGCAATTATCTATTTGCTTTCTATGGATTAGACATATAAATCTGTAAATTAAGTTGGAACTCTATTTACTTTTATTGTTAGATATATTGATCCCTGATAAAGTAATTTTTTTTGTTTTTTGCTTATTTTCATAGAAATATGTAAATCTTTAATTGTACATTTTGACAAACACGTGTTCCCAAAAAACTGAATGTTATTCAAATTGGTGAAGTCAGATAGAATGGAAAGGCTGAGAATTAAGGGAATCCATGGGGAAGCATAATTTGTCATCCACATAAACTCACATGGAGAATTTGTTAATTACATCTGTAAACTCGGTCATACTAACAACACAAATTTTAAAAAATACGAACTTCAGAAGGAATGATTATTACACACAGAAAAAAAGGGCATTTGTCAAAACAATCTTAATCATATTCCAAAAAGGTCTCAAAAGTCAGATTAGACAAAATGATGTGGTTTTGAAAACGTAACTTCTTGACTCTTACTATAATAAATGCTAGGGTTTTCCCAAACCTTGTTATCAATGGGATAGATGATACAAATTTTAGAAAATCAATGTCATTTTATTTGCTTTGAAACTTTTAAACATTTACAGTGTTATAAACTAGAACAGAGAATAACTATCACTGATTCAGTGTACACTATGTTCTAAGCACTTTATTCATTTTAATTTAGTTAATTCTTCCAATAACTCTAGGTAGCAGTACCAATTATACAGATGAGGAGATTGAGGCAAGAGATGTCACTTGCTCAATGGCACATAATTAATAAAAGGAAGAGCCAGAATTTCAGTTCAGGCAGTCTGGTTCCAGAGCTGTACGCTTGACTAATTTCCTTCATTCTTGAGTGAATATTTTTTGTGGGGAGAAAACACTTATAATTTAAACATTAAATAAGTCAAACCTTAATCTGGTTTTGATTTTCATATGCTCCTGGGTTAATACTGCGAAGTTCAGAGAGATGTCCCACATACAAGAGTATTCCATGAAGCTCATCAACCAACGCTGAGGGGAGCTGAGCCTCCAAAACCTCATAGGGATGAACAGGAACATTCTCAGCATTTTGTGCTTTCAGGTGCCTAAAACACAATTAGGTACAGTGAACACCCGAGTCTGAATGAATATGCACTTAGAAATTCAGGCAGTAATCAAAACACTCATCTGACATCCTACCTGAAGATGAAAACTTTAACATAATGAAGAAATGTTATGCACTGCTGCCTGATATTGTCTGCTTTGCAGTGTAGGGTTGATATCTTCCCTGAAACCAAAATAGATGTTAATCTTAACTTAAGTAATTAATTAGTAGGCGGGGACAAAAATTTTTGTAAGCCATACAAGCAGCAATTTTCTACTAATTTTTTCCACTGACTCCTATATGGTTCTTGCCACCACCCTCCTTCCCACACCCCCCAAAATAAAACTGCTGTTATTAAGGTCACCAATGAAACCCATGTTGTCCAATCTGGTGGCTGCTACCTGTCCTCAAGTAACTTGCCCTTGCAGTAGCACTGGCTACACCTGGCCTCACTGCCACCACAGACTGCCAGTCTTCTTTCTTCCTCACGTCTCCTTTCTCGTCCCTCTCCTTCACTGGCTCTTCCTCCCCAAACCTGCTAGATGGGGGCTCCTCAGGACATCTCCGGACATCTCTTCTTATATTAAATCCCTTTATTTCAAAATAACGATTTGAGAGGATTTCCCTACATCCCAGACCTCTTCTTTGCACTGCAGACCTTGCACATCTAACTGCCTAACATCTATCTGTACTTGGAATGCAGATAATGCAAATAACACATCCTTGATTTTTTCCAAAATCTGTTCACGTTGCCCATGTTTTCTACGTTCATTACAACTGGTGCCAACAGGTGCCGATATGTCATTCTTGCTCCTTCCATTTCTTCAAATCATATCTAATCCATCAGAGTCCTATTAAGACTATAGGACTTACTACAACAGAGCTCCTAACAGGTCCTCCCATGTCCTCCTTCGCCCTTCTTAATCCAAGTACAAAATCTACTTTCAATGTATATCAATTCCTATCACTCCTAAATCAAAACCCATGAAAGGCATCCACTGTATTCAGAATGAAATCAAAACTCCTTATGAGTTGTTGTTTTTTTGCCCCAAACGAAATACTAATAGTGCCTGTCTTTCTCCCAATGTCAACCCATGCCATCTTTCCCTGACTTCAACATTTACATCAGCAAAAATTATCTGGGAGGTTACTATGTATAAGACACTAATAATCACAATAAGAAAAATGAATAAAAGGCAATCACTAAACAAAAGCAGAGAAAAGAGGGTGAGAATTATAGACAACAAATTCTTATCCACATTAGACATAAAGCAAAACTTGTTTCTAAATTTGAATTTGTGAGCAAACAGACACTGATTTGGCAAAACCAACAGGAACATATGAGTAAAGATATTGTACAGACATCTATATATTCAACACTGCAGTGCATTTTTATAGCTTAATTATATTTCACCTACAAAAGTCATATCATCCCTCAGTTTCACAATTTCAGCCCATCCAGACAATACTGTCTTAAGAACAACTGCTGTGAACTCCAGCATCCAGCCAAGATAGAGTAAAAGGAATCATATTTACCCATCTCCCATCTTAAACTAGAAAACCAGAAAAACAACATTAAAAAAAATAAAAGAGTTTTCAACCACTGGGCATGGGCAATGCAAGATTGCTATCCTAGAGAGAAGATAATTCCTAAGGCTGCACCAGCTTCCCATCTAGAGATGGTTTCCAGGCTGCAGCACAGGGTGAGTCCCAAACAGAGTCCAAATCACTGAGTTGAGGAGATGTGAGATCTGAGTTTAGGGAAGTTTAAATTTACAGAGCAAAAGTACCAAAGAAGAAAAAAAGCTATACAAAAAAAGAGCTCTGGAAACATACAGCGGGGCCCCTTTGCGTTTTTGGCTGTTCAAGCATAAGCAAAAATAACCCAAACCAGGGGAAAACACCAGAAAATAATTCCCTACAAAGCTTACACAGACCAGGGAACGGTTCAAGTTCCCACCCACAAGAATGAAAAAAAAAAAATCATAATATACCAGAAAGAATCCTCAGAAACCTGACTGGAACTAAATTAAAATTACAGTAAAGGCTACTTGTTAAAAAAGTCCTAACAAGATTTAAAACAAGATTCAAAAAGATCCAATGGATTACAAGTACTCAACAGTGAGCCTGAACAAAATTTAACACTAGTTAGAGAAATACAAGCAGCAATATAAAATCTACAATGTCCATCACACAATAAAAATTTACTGGATATTCAAAGAACCAGAAAACCATAACACAGAAATAAGAGAAATATCAATCAATACAAACAGAAATAACAATGATGAAAGACTGCAGTCACGGAGTTAAACCCAACAGTTATCTGTATACTCTATATGTTCAAGATGGATTTAAGAAAAGCATGAGGACAGAAATAGAAGATATAAAAAAATTAAAAAATAAAAATCCAAGTGAAATGTCTACAGACCAAAAAAATACAATATCTGAAAAAAGTACAAAATCTGAAAATAAGACCAACAGCTGTATATAAGAACAGGTATCAGCAAAACATACAATTTGCTTGTAATTCTGCCTAAACTGGAACACATCTGGGTAGTATAATGAACAGGAGAACAAGAACCTTAGGTACATCAGTAAGTGACCCTACAGGAGGGCTTTCTGGGGTAGGCCAAGGCTACCTAGCTATGTGAATTTTTTAACAAAGCCTTGGCACAGCTGCCTGACAGGGGTGAACTCATCTAGGGACGGTCTTTAATTCTGCTAACCTGTCCAACAAATCTATCCTTACAAGTTTTTTTTTTTTAAGCAACAAAAACAGCCAAAATGTCAGCGTAACACATAACCATTTCAAGAAATAGTCCATTGTACTGTTTGAAGGCAATGGAGTAATTTCAAGAAATAATCTTACATAATAAATACCTTCCTCAAACCCAAGTTAATTAAGTCATTCTATATAGTATTTTTGCTGCGTCTATAATCTTTGAGAGACTTTCCCGGGGTTTCAAAATGTAACTCTCACTCGTCGGCATGGTTGACAAAGACAACCAGGATTTCAACCCTTCCAAATTCATCACTCCCACCCGTACTCTGATCCAACCATATACCATGACTATTTACTTCCTGCTCCCTGAAATTTTATTCTACATAGCTCTTTCGTCTCTACAGTTGTTTCTCCATGGAACGCTTCCTGTCCCCAAAACTTTCTTAAAATATTTTGCTTGGCTAAGTTCTCCTCATCCTAGAAGCCGGGGATCTGGAAGCACTCAATGATGGACATACAACCTGATGAAGCCCATGGCTCCCGCAGCAGCTTGAACATGCCGCTGTTACTATAGCTTTCTATTTATCATGCTGACCTATGCTTGCATGTCTATCTGTCCTACTCAACTGCAAGCTCTTCAGCAGCATAGCTTCCCACTTGACTTTTCAGCACCTTACACAGTACCTGGCACGAAGCATGGACTCAGGTGATAATGAAACAACAATACTCAATGTTTTTCGAGAAAACAAAACAAATAAAACAGCCCTGAAAGCTGCTGGCAAACGGCTGGGCCATGATGTTCCCTATTACAATTAAACAGTTTTCATAACATATCAAAGTAATCCGGCTACATGAAGTATCACCTCACACCTGTCAGAATGGCTATTGTCAAAAAGTCAACAAGTAACAAGCGTTGGCGAGGGTGTGGAGACAAGGGAACCCTGTGCACTGTTAGTGGAAATGTAAATTGGTTTAGTCACTATGGAAAACAGTACGGAGGTTCCCTCAAAAATTAAAACAGAACTACCATACAAGCCAGCAATTCCACTTCTGGGTATTTATCCAAAGAAAATGAAAACACTGATTTGAAAAGACGCATGCCCTCTTATGTTCACTGCAGCATTAATTACAATAGCCAAGAAATGGAAGCAACTTAAGTGTTCAACGATAGATGAATGGTTAAAGATGTGATCCACTCACCCCACACCACACACAATGGAATATTACTGAGCCATAAAAACAGAATGAAATCTTGCCATTTGTAACAACATGGATGGACTTAGAGGGTACTGTGCTAAGTGAAATAAGTCACACAGAGGAAGACAAATCATGATCTCACTTATATGTGGAATCTAAAAACAAAACAAAACAAAAAAAACAGACTCAGAGATACAGAGAACAAACTGATAGATGCCAGAGAGGAGGCGGGTAGGGGCATGGGTAGAAAAGGTGAAGGGGATTAAGATGTACAAACTTCCAGCTATAAAAATACTTAAGTCATGGGGATGCAATGTACAGCCTAGGGAATAGAGTTAATACCGTAATGAATTTGTGTGGTGACAGGTGGTTACTAGACTTACCAAAGTGATTACTTTGTAAGGTATATAAATGTCAAATCATTCTATTGTATTCCTGAAACTAATATAATATTGTATGTCAGCTTTAAAACATACATAATATTGTATGTATACTTTAATATAATTTTTTAAAAATTATCAGACAGGGCCACTCCAGGATTATGGCAAAACAAGACAAAAACAAAACCTCTCCGTAACCATGCCTGCACACAGAAACAAGGCATTAGGCAATCACACAAAAACAAAACACAAAAACATTCCCCTCTTCTAGCTAATATGACTAGTGCTTTACTAATGAGAACTCTCTCTAGCCTCCCTTTGTTATCCTACCGCCATATAAAAATTAACACAATATTCCACTTGCTCCTTTTCTTAACCGCATCCAATCCAGAACCAAGTCCTAGCCCCCTTAAACTCTACCCCAAATCAGCCAGCACAAGGCCCTCCCCACTCCCTCTATTGAGAAAACCCACCTGCTCCTCATGATGTATTTCCTCTTGTTTTAGCAAGCCACTAAACCTTTCTTTGACCGAAGGTGTGTTGCTGGTGATCTTTAGTTGCTGGGCATCACTAATAAAATACCAGGATAAGCACTTAAACTTGCATTACATCATTTAATTCTTACAAGAATTCAGTGAGGTGGAAACTGCTGCCTGGTATGAGACCCACCATTCATCAGCTAGGGATGGAGCCCAGGCTCGCCACAGAGCCATGATTCTAAATGCAAAGTGCACCTCAGCTGCCAGCAAGGAGAAGCAGCTGGCCTGCAACAAAGCCCCCTGCCCCTCAGTTCCCTTCACTACCTTTGCTATTCCAAGTCCCCCCAAAATCAGTCATTCATTAAATGTCAAAAACAGACAAACAGAAACGGGAAGAGCAAGAAGACAGCAAAAGGTCTAGTACTAGCTCTCTTATGAGTTCTCCATCCTACTCTCCCTTCCTACAGCAAGTTACTCACTCACTTCATAGCTGTTCAGCCTTAAATCAACTTTACCTACCAATTTGAAAAAATACTATCATTCTGAGCTACAACAAACTTTAAGTGCCATACTTTCTCTGAACACTAAATATACTTTATCCTGAACTGCTAAAGTAACACTCCCACCATGTTAGTACGATATCCCAATTATCAATGTAGACCCATGTGCGATTCACTGTAATTTGCCTTTAAACACACAACTTACCAAAATCACAGTTGGCCTGTAATAAGGTTTCCAAGTTGTACAGTTGTTGCCTAATTTAAAAAATGTATGTGAGAGTTAATTTTAGACTAGTTTCAAGCATATAAAATTACACAGATGTTTCCAAATCTATTATGTAGCTTCAATGTGCCCTATTTGTGAGTGACATTTAATACTTTGTGAATGTCTATTACAGGGTCAGCTTTAGGAAAAATAACTTTGAGAAAAGATAAAATATGCCTTTGTTTGACCTTCCAAAAATATCTATTAAAAGCTGCATATATCTAAGAAATTATATCAAACATCATAGATTTCACTATCAATGAGATACTGTTTAAATCTTCAAGAAGTTTAAGTTACTTATATAATGTATCCTTGCTTAACAGTTACATAATGAAATTTTAAGTTGTATCATACAGTTATACAGTAGCTCAAAAAGGAACACTGAGGACTAGACTTATCAGGCAAAGTTATATTTACAATGTTCCAACTTAATTCCTGAGAATTAATTCCTTAATTCCTCTTGCCATTCTTCCTAGTTGCTTTTCAACTCCTTAAATATTGACCTATACTCATGACCTGTGTCCCAGATAAAGACTCAACTCATTTGGTAACATTCAGAATTAGAGATCACTCACTCAGCCTGTTCTCTCACTAAAACAGAGAACATGGCACAGGTATGTATAGTGAGTGACACATAGGGTTTTATGGGATGAGGGTGGGAGGAGAAATCCCTTTTCCACCTTTCCATTTTCATTTAAATGTAGCATTTGTACATTCTTAGTGTATTTTTGGATAATAATTTGCCTTCAATAACTGACTCCATTTCAAAATTATCTAAAATCTGAATATGGACTGGGTTTTAAATGATATATTATTTCAATTTTGTTAGTTATGAGGAGATAAGTGTTTATGTTTGAAAAAACAGATCATTCATATTTTTTAAGAAATGCATACTGAAATATTTAACAATGACACGATGGCTAGAATTTGCTTAAAAATACTTAAACCAAAAAGAAGGGAAGGGACAAATGTAGGAAATGTGATAAAACCTTGATGTTTATTATAACTGAGGGAGAGTGTGTGGAAGTCCATTATACTACTCTCTCTACATTTGTGTATGTTTGAAATTTTTCATTTAAATTTTTTAATGTTCAAATTAATCATATTAATTAATCACATTTCTATTACACAGTCTGAAAAATATATTTGGAAAGTCTGAGTTCATTCTCTAAAACATTGAAAGATTACAGCTATTAAGCAAAAGTACTAGCTTTCTTCCAAAATTATATAGTTCAGAGCCTTAAATATTTGTCTTAAATACAGGATGTCAATCAAACGCTACTGTTTGATTTTGTTACTGATAAGACATTCAAGTGAATAACATGCACAACTCTACTGGTGCTTTTATTAATATCAGTATGAGAAACTACCCAGCAATGCAACTTAGAAAACTGTAAAGCATCTACACTCAAAGGCAGTTAAAAACAAAACAAAATATACCTGAATAAATGAAACAGTACTCTAGATGAATTCACTAATGCTGTTTCAGTAACCCACTGAATACCAAATATTTCCACAGTGTCCTCTTCAAAATTAGTTGGTAAAGGGTCAAGATTCAAAAGTAATCTGAAATGAAAACGATGATTTAATCTCACAAAAAGTATGGTAAATCTCATACTATATAGCATGTCTTTTTTGACATTATATGAACCTGTATTACACATGACATCCCAGCAATGATGTTATAAAGTCACAAACGATATAACTTGGTACTTACATATTCAGGAACACTACAGCTAGATTGTATCAAAAATTCAGTCTAAAGAGCAATGTAATTTATGTGTAAAATGTGAAAAGCAGTCTAGGGAACATACTTTTGCCTGTGTTTAATAGTGGTCTTCAGTTGTAGAATTTCATCCCTTGAGGAGGCATTTAATTTTTAAAACAGCTAAAAGTTATTGAGCCATGTCTGGAGAATAACAATCAAATTGAGTAATCTCTTTTAAGGGCTTAAATAAGGTGCAACTTTAAAACCAACAAAAATGATTTCCTTTCTCACTGAAATTGCCTCAGCAGGTATTCCCAAAATATTTCAATAACAGCCCTTTTACTGCAATATGTGTACAACTGCCCAAGGCAAGAATTGTGAAGAACAACATTCCTGTGAACTTATGCAATCTGATATTAGAAAGTTTTTTTAAAAATAAGTCTATTAAGACGTCTATATGTATAATAGATACATAGAATCAGAAGGAACTGGGGCAACAAACAATGTGTATGTTTTACTTAAGAACTACTGAGCAAATCAGTACTCACGTCCCTACCCCAAAGCTGAGGCAGCAGTGAGGCAAGAGAACATCTGGCAGAGCAAGGAAGTTGTCCTTCACATCCAAAAATCTTTTAGGTATGCTCTAACCAGGAAACCAACAACAGAACTAATAGCTTGCATCCGTGTGATATACTAAGTCGATTTACAAAAACATGGCTTGCACATCAAAGTTTAGTTAACTCTAATTTTAATTAAATAACATTCCTAACAAACTGATGAAAAACCTGACGAGAGAAAAACAAAGTCTCCGATTTTTTGCCTACCGCTTAAGGGTTCCACTGGAAAGGTAGGACTCTCCAGAAAAATGTTTTCCTCCTCCTCCTCTGTTGTCAAAAGCACAAGAAAAGCAAGGGGGTTTGCACCATTCTGTCCCCAGCTCCAGTTCCAAGCTGTCGGTCAGGAAAGTCGACGCAGCGGAACAGATATCCATTGTTTACTTCATGTTCTGAAATGTTTGGGATTCATCACAATTATCATTAAGTGCTCCAAAGAAGTCGTGATGAGATTCCTGGAGTTGGGGCGGGCAGAGAAATTGGAGGTGCCTTCAGAAGGTTCCCCAAACGCCTCCTCCCCAACACACACGCAAACTGAAAAGTGAAATTCACAACTACCTTCCACCGACCCTTCCCCCCACCGCCCCAAGATCAAGGTTGTCAGAACTTAGGTAAAATGCACCCGCGACTGGATGTAGCAGAAACTTAAAATCCCCGTAGGTGGGACCCTGCAGCCCGGGAGAGGGTAAAGAGGAAAGGCATGTTCGCAGGACAGAGACAACTTCCACTCCAGAGCCCGCCTGGCCCTGCGCCCGCCTCTGTGTTACCAAACCGCGTGGCCAGCTTTCCCAGTGTCGGGGAAAAGCTCCCTTGCAGCTTCCGAGTGGGGATCAGTGGGGCCCGGCGCCAACCCCCACTCCTCCCGGCTCGGGGGCACGTCTCGCCAGGTCCGCACACTGCGGACCCCCGCGCGGACCGGGCAGATGGCGAGGGGAGCCCGCGTCCCGTGCCCCGGTGCACGTCATGCTTACTCACACTTTCAGCCTCCGAGATCCGCCCGCCGCGATCCCGACCACCGCGCCGCGGTTCGTGGGATCTAAATCCCAAACAGGTGAAATTCCCGCCACGGTGCGCCCGCGCTCAGGAAGGGCGGAGCCACAGCAGACCCCGCCCCCGGAGGTACGCTCGCGAGGGCTCCGTGGGAACGGTCGGCGCTCGCGAGTTCTCGCGAGCGTCTGCCGGTCAAGGACCCCGTGCGGCGTTCGCCCGTCCTTTCTGTTAGCTTTCATTGGTGCCTTTGGCCGGAAGGCGGGGCCTCCCTGGGCAAGGAAAGTGACGAGACGACTGAGGTGAGCAAGGCACAGGGACCAGCGGGATATCCTCTGTGGGGCCTGAGAAAAGAGCTAAGTTCGAGTCCGAGGCGGGTGTCACATTCACGCCCAGAGCCGCGCCACCCTTGTTCCGCGCTGGTGCCGGCCACTCTGCTGTTGAGATCGACGATGCCTGTTGTTTATGGATTGTGAGCCAAGCAAGTGCAAAAATGAGGTTAATCCGGTGAATGGAAACACTGATATGAAAACTGTGGCTCCACTTTTGTGCAACACATCCAGGCAGGTTTAAGTCGTTTAAACCTGGACACTTTTGTAAAAGTATACATAGCCCATTCGCAGCATTTTTATCTTTTTCAAGTGTTCTTGAAACTCTCTTTAGAAGACTTTTAAGTCTGTCAGAGGTAATACATTTCAGCGTGTCACCGTCTTTAGATTCAAGAAAAACCTAAGAATTTCTCATTCAAATGTGCTACTACAATTTGAGCATTTTCCATTGCGCGGTCTTCCACAATAGTTTGTCCTACGTTTAATTCCTGTATAGGAAACAACTCTTTCCTCTGTTGAAAGCAAATACTGCATAGTTTCTGACAAATGGGATGAGGTGGGCAAAAATAATATGATCCGTATTCCATCTGCAACTTAGGGCTGCTGTGGTGAGTGCCATGTCTGTTAATGCTCAGCAGATGTACCATGAGATCCCATGCTTTGTTGGGGAACACTGCAGCTGCTTTATGGCCTGGGCGGAGTCTAGCAGTAACACATAGTGTCATCTACAACAATCACTAGGAAATTGTGCCTAGGTATGAGAATATTGGGCCCTGGCACTGACTTCAGGAGAACTGGGTCAGTATAGCCATTACTACTTCTTCCTCTATTCAGAATACACCTTTTTTCCTTTTTCAAGGGCCTGATGTTGAGTGATAAACTTGGTTGAACCAGTGAGTGGAATGGGAAGAACCAGATAAATTCTCTGTAAGTTAAACAAATCCTATAACACATTCTATCTGTAAGAATTCCCAGCAGGTACCTGATGGCATACTCAAGAGAAATGATTGAGGGGTGTTTAATGAAAGGGCCATTTATAAAAGTGTGGTTGTAAATATCATATGATCTCACTTATACGTGGATTCTAAGGAACTGAATGGATGGGAGAAGT